CATAAAGTTTAGCCCATTTGAACAATGGGTAATGTATAAATAAAATAAAAATATAATAATTTCTAAAATTTTGGAAAGAAAAACTTACTTGAACTTAAATAAAATGGCATCAAAATTTTCGAAAATTTACAAGCAATTTGAATGAAATGCGCTACAAGCGGAGGTATCCCCACAATAAAATCTACCAGAAACATAACAAATGTGAAAAAAAAAACGTAAAATGAGGGTTTTATATCTAGCAGATGATATAAAATACAGAAAAATTTCAATAACACCCCTAATTCTGCTAAATATTGGGGAACAACTCTTACTCATTCAACTAACAAGTCAGTTCATACGTTAACACGAGAAGAACATCATTAGAGAGAAATAATAAGATGATTAATGCCGATTTTCTACTGTAACGACTACCAATCGTCAGAGGTAATTCCCCTAAACGGGGGAAACCTCATGTGACAATGTGTTTACAGCATTATTAATCTTCCAGGGGAAGGGGGAAAGTTGGATACTGAAAGATTTAAAGATTTTATGAGAAATATGTCGCCAGTAAGATAAGAATATTAACAGGAAAGGCTCGTTATAGAATATTTGAGAGTACACGTTCGAGTTTTGTGTACTTGCAGCTGGTTGGAATCGTAAAAATTCCGACATTTTCAGAAGTAGGACAGAAAACAAAGCGTAATCTGCTAATGTCTCTCTGTAAATAATGAAACTTGTCTTATTAGTCGCAGTAAAAACTCCCTGAGGGAATATTGTACAGAAATAAACTTAATTGTTTGTTCTATTCGTTTCCATTTCTTCTTTCAATCCCCCTTAAAGTATCCTTTACGACTTCTGCAACAAAATCCAGATGTAGCCAATTTTCCTTACTACTACAAAGGTTTTTTTATTCATTTGTTTGAATTTCTAGAATAAAGTTATGTACTGTACAAATCTACAAGCTTCAAGATAGAAAAGTTCAGTAATTTATTTCTACGTGGCGTAACAATTACAATAATGACTATTTTGAAAGGTCATCCATTTTCCTTCAAATATAAGCAATTTTCAAAACTCTGCAACTTAAAATATATTGGAGTTAGAAACTTGAAATTTAAAAACTTTGGTATCAAATCTTAGCGGCTACACTGCTGACGTCATTAGAACTATGTACTCTCTCTGGCATCCTTTGAATATTATGAATTTCAATCAGGTTACTCGGATGCTGCGCTTCGTGACGTTGAAGTTTATTTAAAGTTTGTCATGTTTTCAGTTAAACTAAGATGTTAGCCTTTAAACGAGATGAGTTAACTACCATTAAAATCTATGGTTACAAAATTTTTCTGAAAAAAGTGAGAGTCGTTCTGCTAATCTGGGCTACTAAATGTGGTGTAGACCAGGAAGGGAATAGGATATGTCACATGCCATCTGGTCAAGCACCCTTTTCATGCTGGATCTTTGCAGCTGCTAAAGAATGATTCATTCCAAATTTTTCTGGCTTTCAGGCTATTTCGTTTGAAGAAAACGATTTAAAAAAACATAAATAAAGAGGCAGAAATCAGAATACTCAGATATATGATCTAAATATGTTACATATCTTGATTTTAATAAATTAATTGGATATTTTATATATTAGAATGTGATCTTGTATACCTGATTATTTTTCGATCCGTATCTTAAGTATGTTAATGAGCTTCTAAAGCTACCAATTTTAACACAAAATAAATGTTTTATGGGGCAAATTTATAGAATTTTCTTATAATAGGCCTACTGAGAAACTTTTATGCATTCTAACTTATTCTCACTACTTGCTTTGCGTTATAAGATGATAACACGACAAGTGTTAAAAATGTCGATAATTGTAATAAGTTCCCTTACTTTTATTGAGAAGTTATTTTACTTCATAAAAATAACTTTAATGCTTTATATATCTTCGTATAACGTAATATTTTCAAATTTTTAATTTAAAAATTGTTGCTCGGTTATATTTAAAGTGATATAAAAAATTATTTTACAGTTTAACTTTAAAGGATTTCTTAACTATTCTAAGAAAGCAGCGTGAACTTAATGTCATTAATACTTTTATGTAAACTATTTTACAACAAATTACGATGCCAAACATTAAAAATTATCGCTACTTTTGTAACAATAATTACACAAAAGTCCGGGTAGTTAACGGATCATTTAAACTAGTTTCTGTAATTTTGAACGTCTACGTCTTGTCTACTAAATTAGCCTTAAATTTTAAAGTGAAATTTATAACCCGTTAAATTAAACTAACTGACTTCCTCTGTGATATTCTGTACTTTTTAAACCCAGAGGGGTCAAAACTAAAGTTTTATTACTAAGAAAGATAAACGGACGTTTCTGTTACGTTTAAACTGTAGCGATATTAAAAAACTGGGTATGAAAATAAGTGTATACAGCATCCTTTATGTTGAATTTATCGAATTACCCTTGGTGAAGTCGACAATGTCGAAGATGTAATCTGTCAATTCTGTTAATCTTTTGGCAAATAAACACGGGAAGAAATAAAGTCAATGACTTATGCTTCACATCTGCTGCAGAAAGTGACTAAAGACAGGAAGTAACGCATCTGTTTTTTCCTTTCCTGCACAAATCTTCCTTTGTTATCTTATCTTTAACTGTTATAAGATAATCTAAGCCACAAAAATTTAATACCTAGTTAAGATTTTTACGATCTTAACCCTTCTATAACCGATAATTTCTGCTCGCAACACGCAAAATAATTGGAGCACATGCCTCGAAATCTAATTCTGGGAATACTCTGTATCAAAATAACCATTAGTCATCCGTATTAATGAATAGTAACGGGATCACCTTCCCAGACACCATTCTTAGTACCAGTTTGCAGCGAATCAAATAGCAATTTGTTTAAAAACACGTGCTAAAAATCTGTGCCGTATCTTTTTTTAATAGAGAAAAACGATCTAGAAATGAAAAAAGAAAGCAGAAATTAATTGTAGACACTTCCTCCTCCCCGCTAGAAATGGAAGAGTAACTAATACTCTGTTGTGGGAACGGTTTTACTCGCCACACCTGTCACTTACAAGTTGTCCGATGTCCCATAAAAATCGAGAAATTTGAGATTTAAGTCGTCTTCCTTTCCAGTTTGAGTGGCAAAAAACCGTTGAATGTAACACGATTCGACCGTATACCTTTCAACTGTACAGAACCGTGAGAGTGGTAATTCTCTAAACGGTTGTTTAGCGCAGTTGTCACGAATATGCCACGTCTCGCTCTAACTAACTTAGTTTTAAATTCATAATTTGCGCCATATCGGCGAATAAATCAAAATTTATCGAGTTAAACGAGTAATTAGCAGAAAATTTTGGGGGTATTTAAAAAATCTAACCTAGTTATATTCGTAGTCCTACACAGCTTTGATCTTTTCATACATCCATCTGATAGATTTGACATATCTTTTAAAAGAGACTCTAAGAAAAAACTACAGCTTCATCCATCCATCATAAGATTGATAACGAGTCAGAAAACATAATTTTTTCTTGATAAATCTGCAAATGTTATATAAGTTATATACAGATAGCCTATATAAAACCTGCCTTGATTATCTTGAGAGAATATTCAAAGATGGAGTGAAGATAATTAGCAAATTTTGCAGCCGCTCACGCTTTATTGATTTTATAATTTTGAGCCAGAAGAACTACAGTTTAACTCGATTTTATAGAAAACTTTCTACTTATCTATAAATAATTAATTTGTAATTAGATAAATTCGGTTTTCCTTTAACAGATTTTGTTACCCAGATAGAACTCGTCTACGCTAATTATGCTTCCGCTTTGGGAGTTGGAGACCAGCGATTAAAATTTTCTTCTTTCATGTTTAACTCGTTTGCCGCAGGAGAATAATTGTCGCGGAAGTCTCTGTCCCTAAAACAGATATATCGTTTGTTGTTTTGTGGTAAGCTAGTAAATTGAGAAAACGGCCTTTCGAGTGACGTCACCAACGAGCAACGACTTAAAAATGTCTTCCACACTCGGGTGTCACAACCGAGAGGATTCGTTTGATTGTATTTTCTGCGCATTAAATTTTAGCATCGCAGTTGTATGCGGAAGCGTCTACTTTCTCCTCCGAGAAAATTTTGACAAAGACGAAAAATTTACAACCAAATACCTTCTCAATACCACGATAATAGCAAATGGAATGAGATTGAAAATAAATGTGAACATAATTGCGCCTCCTGGATTAAAATTATTTACTGCAAAATGTGTGTTATTTTTTTAAATGGGTGACGTGGTGACGTCCATCCTCTTCGCCAGCGACTATCAAAGTCGTGTTTTACATTGCATTTAATAACATAGAGGCCTCGCAACCGGCTCTGAAAGGCTTTATTACTACCATTGTCGTTTGCTATTAAAGCGATGTTTTCAACTCCCGTGGCCCTTTATTAAAACTCCAGCACCCCCAGAGTAGGGGAAGAATAGAATCTTTATTGAAGGGGGCGCGTGTTCTCCCTCCCGAATCCCAGAATAGATCAAAGTAAAAATTCGAGAAAGTTGCGTATCCCGAAGTCGGGATGATTGGGGGAGAGAGACGAAGAAAACTTTTTTCTCTCATTACAAATGGACGTTTTCGATAAACTAGAGAAATTAACGTACTAAAATTCTATAAAACTTCCAGAAAATGGACGATAAATGGGAAATTACATACTAAAACGAAACATATAACGAGTATGGAGGCCATAAATGCTTCACCGAATGACATAAACATCGTCTGAATATTTAATTCCCTCCGCAGAACATGGCAGAGTGAATTTCACCAATTTTTTTCCGCTTCAAAAGTTTTAAGAAAGAATAAAAAAGAGACTACTTTGAGAAACAATTACAAGAATCGAATAAGTTTTTAATTAATTACCTGGCGGCGCTCCAGTTTTGAATATTTGAAAAAAAAAAACTGTTACTAGAGTATTAATGGTAGAGATGTACGAAGTTTGTGTGGTTTGAAATTAGAATTGCTCCAAGAAAAACTTAAAATATACTCACGTGATTATGTTATCCCTGGCGTTGATTCGAATTGGGAGTAGTTTATCACGTTACACGGACGGCTCCCGAGGGCGCAGCAGCGCTTTACTTGTCCCGTTGCGCTAGAGCATCGACTCTAAATACGCGCCTCCGAGTTGGCGTGTCGAGTGGTAGAGGGCGCTAGCGTCTATGTGTGTGGGGTTCTCCCTTTCAGACTTGGCTCGGTCGTTCTGTTAAATATGGATGATCCCGACCGAATCCTATCAAATAATACTCTTACCGTCCAACGAGATTAAATTATACAATGTTTTGATTAGTCGAAGGCTCGAGTGCAATAACTTTACCCCGTTCCGCGACTATTCAAAAGGACAATTACGTTTCGCGACTCGATTATTTTATTTCAAATTATTATAGTATTTTGGAAAATAATCTTTGATGAAAATATTTACATTACTTTCGCTATTAATGAGCTACGTATTAAAAACTTTAAGTTAATTAATTTGGTATTAATTAGGATTTTAAAACATTTCCATGTTTATTGTTTAAGATAATTAGTTCATCGTCCGCTTTTTGTAGTTATAAATATTTTTACAGTTTCATTTAATTATAGTTAAGTTTAATCTAGGCCGATTATTATTTGATAAAAGTTTATTACTTTAATCGGAAAGATTTTTATCCAGAATTTTCTATAATGACGAAATAAAAGATTAAAAATCCCGTTTCAATATTTAAAATTTAAATATTTATTAACGCGTTTTGAATATTATAAGAGAATATCTATCGAGTTTATCGTTTAACTAATAAAATAAGGTAAAATTTCATAGAAAATGATTGTAAAGTTTAAATGATTAGAATTGTCATAAATGATTAATCTTCCTAGCTTAAATGTAACCATCAAACCGCTATAATTAACACAAAAGCAGCATCTTTCCATATAAATATGAAATCTTGCAATCGATTCCAATCATTTTCAATATTTAATATTGATTGAGGTTTTAAGTACGATAATTACGTCAGGTTTACGTTTACGGTTGTGGTGACGGGAAAAAAATTTTCAAATTGTTATAAAGTCTCTTTGAATGAAGAAGATTGCGTTTTAAATAAGAAATTTATCTTTAAACATTGAAAATGTCTTTCGCTTGTTGGCCATAGCGCTTCGACTAGCGGCGGGTTTATAAATTAGTAATTAGAGATTTAATGAAATTAAAAGATTATAATTAAACCTCGTTAGCTCGTAATAAGTAAAAACATTAGAAAAGTATCATTATTGCAAATTTAAAAGCTAATCGCCGACGTCATCCAACTTCCGGCGATAAAAATATCGGATTTCGGTTTCCAAAACGATTTTACTTATTCATAGAATTTATAAATTTAGAATTTAAAGATATTTTAATCGCGTTTACGTGAAATTCTTTAAAATTTAAATAATTTATTACTGATGTTTACCGCTTTTAACAAATTTTCTTCCGCCTACCTTAATGGCGCGCGCTAACCATAAGACGTAACGGGCGCTGGCGGTGACGTATTATAAACTAATAACGAGTTTATAACGCAAAACGAGCGAATTTCGATAGAAATTTGAAAATAAGTCATTAAGTAAATTTCTATTATCTTCAATTATACAGAGTTCGAGTGTAAAGAAATGATGTAATTCTTTCAGGTCGACAAAAATCATAGATATTAAACGAAGATTAAGTAAGATTTTTTATTCTTCGCCAGTTATAATGCATTTATCACGTGCTGACAAAGCAGCTGTTGACCCGCGGGGCAATTTCGTCCGCGTTAGGCTGTATCACGTGACCCCGACCCGAATGACGTCGGAAGAGGGAGAAAGAAAAACGACGCGTGAACTCTACTTTTACCTTTTCTGGAAGATTTACTTCTCGCCAAATGTCGGCTCGGACTGCACGTAAATTTAAAACTTCCTTTTTCCTCCGGAAAATTTATAGAATAAGAGCTTATAAAGTTTTCAAAAGTTGCGCTTTGATTTTTTCGTTTCTTTTAAAAATTTTAGGTGGCGCTGAATGAAAGAAATATCGTATAAGCGAATATAAATTATTAACCAGCGCCATCTAACATTTTTTCCCTTGAAAAATTGTTTGTTTTATCGCGCATTTTAATAATGGAGGTGATGAAGTTTTGATAAAATAAAATAGATTTTTGCGTTAATTACCGAAAGAAAAATATAACTGTTTACTTAAATTTCTGAACAACTTAGAACAACTTTAATGTACAAAACTTGACTTTATCATCACGCCGATGCTTGCGGGTCCTCGACGATAAATCCAGTTTAAAAATCAACGTAAGACTTTAAATTATTAATTATGACAATTAAATGTAAAAATTCCTTCAAAAATTTGTAGAAAGTTAACTTCTCCATCCTGTAAAGAACCATTTGGGCGGGGTCGATGATACACGCGGTGTCGGCGGTTCGATCACACGTCGAGTGAGAACAAAAAAAAATGGAAACACCCAACTAACAGTGACGTAGCCTGGATAAAGAGAACAGTTTCCGATCCGGTTCCTCGCTGGCAGCTTCACAATAAGGTCCTAGTGGCATATGGATGCACGACTTACAAACCATCTGCTGTTAATAACCGTTTTCGATTCTAGATCATTTCCATCTGTAACGGCTACTCTGCAGCTGCAACAGTTATTAGCTGAGATTGCTCTTCAGTTGCTTCGTATAACTGCGATTGTTTCGTATATATAGTGCCATTTTATTCCTCGATAGTTCTTAAATTCTTATCGATTGTTGAATATAATTTTGCCATCTTACTGCTTTTTCCTATTATATAATAGGATAATGCCGACCTTTAATGATGCTGCAGTTTTTTGACATTATTGACGTTGCTCCTTCTCCACACCCTTCTCTATGCCACATTTGTTTCAAGATATTCGAGTAACTTCACTCGAAAATTTAAATACGGTAACTTTTATCATTATTTTAGACATACTTTTATAATTTGTTTGTATTGCTTCTTTTACTCATTTTCCTCGTGATTTATCCATATTTTCAAGTTTTTGTATTATCTTTAATACGTGTGTTGTATTTTCTTTCACAACATGTTTTCTAAAGGAAGAAACCTAAGTAGAACAATAATTAAAGTCAAGACAAAAGTACATCTTGGACCCGCAATCGCTACTCTTCTCCGAGTGTCATAGCATCGCTTTCTCTCTAAATGACCCGATGTAGTAAGAAGTACAGCTTCCTATATACTCAATTTAATGAAGCTTCTTTCATCCTTTGCATTCATTTTCGGGTTTAAAGGCTCTTATTTTCCACTCATATTTCTGCAATGCCTCATCTTCACTGCATAGTTCTTTGGCCTATTCAAATTTCTTTGCCATTATTTACAAATTTCCATTATCGGAAAAAAAATGTTAACAAATTCTCTGCAACTAATGTTCTTAAACTAACCCGGGAAGCAACTCGGCAAAATGCAAAATGGCAGAAAAAAAGTTAAATCGGGCCACTGTCCCCCATGTAAAGAAACAATTTATAGGGAGGGGGAACGAAACGAATATACGGAGCATGCTCGTTCGCTTAAGGAGATCCATCTCCGTATCTAGGAAACGGTAAACGCCCACGCGGCATAGAGGGGTGTAGGGAAGAAGTAGAGTACTAGAGGTAATTTTGAAAATTCGTGTCTCTTTGCATGACTCGCGATGACAGATGCGACCGAGACATCGCTAACGTCGTTGTCCTTTTTATGTTCTTTCTGCTCTTGATTCGGTTCCATCTTTTTCCTCCTATTTGAAAAAGAAATAAACCTCTTAAAAAAGCATTAACAATCCGTGTAAACTGGGGTAATTTATGAACGGATAATTACTTTTAAGAAAGAAGATGCGACGAGAAGAAAGCGGTAGATTCATTTAATTAATTAAATATTTTATTAGGTCTAGGAATTTTTATAATTTAAATATTATTACGTGATTTTTTTTTTCAAATTTCAGTCTGTGTTTAATTAAATAAACTTGAAACACGCATCACGATTGTTTGTTGATTCACGCTTCATTCAGCAAATTTTCGGTTGATTAATGTTCAACTTTAATTTTACGAAATTAAAACGAGAAACTAAGCTTAAATTTAGAATTTTATCTCCATTTCTTTTTTTAAAATCTAAGATAAATATAATTCAATCCAAGCTTTTCTTCCAAGGAAAACAAAGTTATCTTCTTGTAAGATAAGGAAAAAGTTATCTTCTGGATGATAAGGGTATGTGTTTAAAGCTTCCGAATTTCATTTGGAAGATTTAAACTTGAAATAATTCTTTCATTTATCTATTTTCGAGCTTTTAGTATTAAAATTTCTCTTCTTATACGTTTGATAAAGTTTTAAGTTAAGAATTTTGGTACTTTCTTCTAGAACTCGAGTCTCTTAACGATCGAGACATAAGTAAGTAAAGAAAATAATGTTTGGTTATTAAGATAAGGGCAGATTTGCATGTCGAACAAGTTCCCTTTTTACCTGAGAACCCCACACTTTAATTACTGAGGCCCTGATCTACTTCGACATAATGGCTTAATTACGACTTAATCACTCGGAACGAATTCAGTAAATAGACAATGCCCACCTTGGCCCCACTCCTAGCGATTAATGCCTCGATAAGAGAATCCAAAGGTAGGAAGAGTCAGTAAAGAAGAGATTTCGATCGATAAAACCCATTCGGAATGTCAAACAAAATTGGGTCCTTCGGGTAAAGACATTAGCATGATTCATAAAGTGATTTGAATTTTTATCTGATGTTTTTTCTTGTGGAAAAAAGTTAACAGAGTGAGTTATGCCCGTCTGTACGCTATACGAAGATCGAAATCACGATATATAACCGGGAATATAAGAGAAAGTTCAAACTTTCTATAGATGTTCTAACATTTCGAACGATCCAAAATGGAGTCTATTATCAAAAATGGCGCCGGGTTATGAGTATGAACGGTCCAGAAGATAAATCTACGAGTTATTTTTATAGTTTCAACCATGTTTAGTATACAACAGAAGGTATAAAGTGGGTAAAAGAAAAAATAAGTAGCCAACTAATGTTAGTAATTTTCATTGAGCATGATGAATTTCTGTAGAAGGGATTAATATAGCATTGTAAACGTACTTGCGAATGGCTTATTCTTATAAATTGCCGCATAACGAAGCGATTTTATTCTGTTATCAGAGGAT